GGAGAAGACCGTACCCACCAGAATCTGAACCTGTAGAGTTGAGAGAATTAATAAAAAGCGCATGTGTTTGCAGAATTTACGAGACTTGTAAACCAATCGGAGTAGTCATGGATGTAGCATTGAAAACTCTGTTATTCCTAAATAACCAGAGACTCCAAAGAGTACCAATAAAGTCACTTATGCGGTAACTAGAAAGACCATCCTGACTTATAAAAAGTTGGATATAATATAGGATCCAATCTGTAATAGATTGGTCTCCATGTAGTTCTGAGTGGATGCCAAGGCTTCCACCCTCCAAGTTATTCGTGCTATATAGAATCCCTAAACATGTGTTGTAAATCCTCTGTTTGCGTACGGCAGTAATCACAGTTAATGTCCTGTAAGGGAACACCCAGGTGCAGAAGCGTGTATTTTACTGCAAGAGCTTTATGTAGAACTTTCCATAAAAGCAGCTTCCAATTCGGGTCGTTGAAAGTGAAGAGACCAAAGAAGCTTCCAAAAATTATAAACACTTGTTGTAACTGCAGGGAGAGGGATAGGTTGCTATTGTAACATAGCATAACCTATTTTAACTAAGTACTTCCCAAAGGAAGTACGAGACCAGTAACGAAAATTCTCTCTTGCTATATCCGATTACTCAATCGAAAGGATTAAAGTAACATCTGAAGGAATAAACCAGTCCCACACTTTGCTAGAATCCCAAGTCTTTGTGTCTAGATGAATAAAAAAGTTAACCAAATGAGCCTCCGTAGTGTTCAAATGTATGCCGGGCTTGAATTCAGGAACACGTTCGTGATCCCAAGCTGAGCTACTTGCTAGAATGGAGCGTCCATTACCGACGTTCGAGGTAAAACCTTGAAGTAGAAGGTTATCAGCATTAATTAGTCCTTATAGACCAAACGAATTACGACCAGTAATCCGAGAAGAAGTGTTAGTAGAGTCTGAGAGAAGTCGTGTACAAGGACTAAAGACCTTGGATACCAGGAGTTGAGGGTATGTAACTATCGCCAGACCTGCTTCATGAGGAGCGCTTTGTTTGTAGTAGAAATACAACATATACCCAAATCGCCCATACCTTGAGGAAGATGCATAGTGTCTTTGTTAACCCAATGTATTCCTTTATTCTCCGAATATGCCCAAAAGAAACACAATTGTAGAGAATCAATTAATATTACGACTGAAACCGGTAGATCAATGCAAGAGAGTACATGGGATGTCATAGCTACAAGAATAGAGTTAATACAAATTAACTTTTGAGATTAGGACAGTTTGGTAGCATTAAGACAATTAATTCTACCAAAAATTTGTCGATGATGAAATGGAAATGGGCCTTTTTTGTCCCCATAAAGTCAATTGGAGCACCTCAATGGTGATCAAACACTTGAATATGTTTCATTCAAAAGATAGACTTGAACTCTTCCTGAGCCCAGGTACAGGTGTTTGGGCTGAATTTAACCAGAGCTTTTGAAAGATTTAGTTCCTCACTAGAGATCTTTGTGAAATGGTGGATGATGTTAACGATATTCATACATGCAGTATTGACTCTGAAAAGATAATTGCATCATCCGTGAAAAAACGTGCGAAATAGTCGGACTTAATCTGGAGAGCTTAATGCCTTGAAAGGACTTTAAGTCCTGACCCAAATGCAGCATGCGAGAAAGAACATCCATAAAAAATGCAATAGAGATGGAGACAACGGGTCACCTTGGCGTAAACCGCAATGCGGCTTAAATGTGTCCGAAGTTGTGCCATTAACGAGTGATTTGTATGTCACTGTGGAGATACATTGTTCAATAATTTGAAGCCAACAGCCAGGAAATCCATAAGCTTGTGGTACCCGTATTAAAAAAAATTCTAGTGAATCCAATTGTATGCTTTACTCATATCAATTTTGAATAAAGCCAGCCAGTTGGTACCTGTCTTTGAGGAATTGATTTTTTCCATCAACTCGTGACTGAGTAAGATATTATTAGTCATAACTCTTCCTTGAACAAAGGCTTGCTCAGATTTAAGAAAGGGAAGATATTGGCGTAGTCTGGAAACTAAGAACTTGGAAGCCCATTTGTAAATTGTATTAAAAAGGCTTATCGGATGTAGGTGTCCCACCTGAGAAGGAGAAGAAATATTTGGAACCATAACAAGAAGAGATTGATTTCATTGTTTCAAAAGAAATCCCGTTTGAAAGAGACTTTGAATGCCTAAACCATAAACTCTCCAACTATATCCCAGTGTAATTTAAAGAATTCTGCATTTATCCCATCCGAACTTATAGATTTACAGTTCCTTAAGTCAAACATAGCAGTGAAAATCTTTGAAGGCGTGAAGGAACACTACAAATTATTGAACAGGGAAGAGTTAAAACACGGTGGATGTAATTCTTTAAGAACATTATCAATTTCAAGATCATTGAGTGGAGCCGAATCACTTTTGAAGTTATTATTGAGAGATTGTACAACGATTTGTTGAACCTGTTGTTGACCATGTTGAAGCAGAATATGTTCATCCAACAAAGAACAAATCTCATTCTTATTTTGTCGACTTTTGACCTTTGAAAACATAAGCTTAGAAGGACAGTCGCCCTAAAGAATCCAATTCTTTTTGCAACGTTGTCTCCAGAATTGAAGTTGTAGTAAAATATTATCTTGTGAAGAGGAAATAGTGGACAAATATTTCGAAGCATCCGAAAGAGTGTGAATTGACTCTCCTTTAGTATAGAGACCTTAAGTAAAAGTCTTCCAATCCACACCCCAAAATTCCTTATTCTTAAGACTCCAATTCTGAATCAAAATTTTTTGAGAGCGTAAACACAGGGGAACCATTTGGGGGTCGTTGCCAAGTACTATAAACAAAGTCGTGAATGTCCTCAAAATAAAGGCACCAATTATCCAATTGGTAAGGTCTATTTGATTTTTGTTGAAAAGAAGTATCCTCAAATAAAATAGTAGCATGATCAGAGGCAAGGATCGACTGATTAGTTAACCGACTATTCGAATATTACGAAACCAATCTAAGGTAATGTACTACCTATCTAATTGTTGCATGCTTAGTTGATCCGAGTCCCTTTTATTTATCCAAGTATAGGGAGGGCCTTTGAAAGGAGTAGAAAAAAGACTCGACTTAGTCTGAAATCAATAAAGAAATCCCAACCTTTAATGAAATTTGAAACCCCTAATCTATCATAATGATGCTCAATTTGATTAATATCTCCAATATTCAAACAATTAGGCGTTATAGATAACAAATCCAAAATTAAACCCCAAACTTAAGGCTATAATCAGGAGCACCATAAACAAACATCACTCATGTACTAATTTCATTAGGAACTTTGATATGACAAAGTACTACATTTGTACAACAAAAAACACAAGAAACTTCTTCTGTACCAAAGCCAAAACAACTCAACTCTTGCTAGTCCCTACGGAATCAACCCCAAAACTGAACACTTATTTAAGATAATCTAACTCATACTCTCTCCATCATGAATTAACCGTACTGTGTTAAATTACACAAGAATTCTTGCAAAAATGATTGATTTCTTATACTATATAGTGTTTATAATGGTCTATTACATATCTTGTCCCAAAAAAAAAATGTTCAATTTTATATACTACCTCCCTTATAGTTTATGTGCAACGATTAGACATTTTCTCTCTCTTCTTTATGTCAAATCGTTGCACATAACCTGTAACGGAGGTAGTATATACTTCATCCGTTTTTAAATATTTGTTCCATTTCTTCTGAACACGTATACTGATATTAATATTTAATTAATAATATTTTTAATTATCAATAAGTATTTTTAAAGGAACACCAAGCCTTTTTTTTTTAAAAAAAAAAAAATAAATATTACACCAGATCATCACTTGCCTTTTTTGTTTAATTAAGCATTTCAACCTCGAGTTTGGGTATGACAATTTTTTTTTTCCTTGAGTATTCGGATTGCCAATGTTATACTCCATTCGTCCCCGATTGATAGTCATTTTTGCCAATTTTTGTTACTCAAAATGTTAGTCACATTTGCTTTTTTTTTTTTTAAGTACCATTAATATTATTTTTTTACCAAAATTCTCTAACATTTGCAAAAATATTTGTGCAAATTTAACTTTCCAATGTAAATTTTACTTTCCCATGTATTTTAATTACTTTCTCTCTCTATTCTTTTGCATATCCAATGTAAATTTACTTTTTCAATGTACTTTTTCAATGTACTTTCTTTATTTCTTGTTAATTCTCGTGATTTTTTTAGCAAAAGTAACTATCAATTGGGAACGGAGGGAGTACATAATAGTACTTTTTTATTATCTTTTTTTTTTTTTTCTTATGCCACTCAATTAGTTATGAATAGTTAAAGGTTAAATTAATCTTTGACTTGTTGATAATGCATAAGTATAACATTTTTATTATATTTTTATATGACTAACTTTTCAATTTCCCTCCCTCTTCTCTTATAAGTTATAATAGAGATAATAGGGGTTTAATATTTTCCAACTTTACAATATACTTGTGAAACTTAAACTCTATTGTCATATTACTTATTTTCCAACGTTATTTGTAAACAATATAGTGACTTTAAACGATGTAATTGTAAAGTATTTTTCAATACAAATCAATTGCTAAAAAAAATTCTTACTCGTATATCTTTTTGTTGTTTTTGCTTGGAATCTCTAAAATTTTCTATGCAAATAAATCTAGTACATAATGTAGTAGTATTAATGATCATGTGAGATATTGTAAAATCAAAACTTTTCTTTATGATAATTAGTTAATACCCCATAATTAGACTACAATTTTAACATTTCTGTTTGATTTAGCTACTTTTAGCAAAAGTTGTAAAGCATAGTTCATTACACATACTTTTCTTCTCTCACCATCTTTATCAAACCTTCAACTTTGTATAAAAGTCATGTAATATTGAATTTCTACTCCAATAAATAATAATGTGGACGAAAGAACAAGTAAACTATATAGAGTAAAAGCAAATAACTAAATAAACAAAATCATTTGAAAATGTTGCCTTCTTTTTATTAAGAGAACGGAAAAGGCCATTATAAATACAACTTTTTCACCTCTAAATTTCACCCTCACAGAAAAAACTTACAAGTACCCTCCTTAAACACAAAAAAGAAAAACAAAAAGAAAAAATATCAAAAGATAATAAGGAAAAAAAAAAAAGAAGAGGAATTTCTAAGGTGGAGAGAGAAAGGAAAAGAAAAGAAAAGACAGTACTACTACTGAATTGGGAATTGAGAAGTAGTGGTGGGTCCCAACCGCACTAACACAACCAGCTCAGCACATCAATCAGACTCAGAAAATAGGAAAAAGAAAGAGAAAGATAGGTTGTAATTTGGGCAGTGGTTAGGTTGTGGACCCCCACTGAGTTACCTAACTCGTTTTTACGCCCTTTCACTCTCACCACCTCTTCCTTACCCTCTTATCATCATGTCATGTTTCCCCTGATTTACACCCGAGTTATCTCGACTCGAACTCCAAATCGAACTTGACTCGACTCGACCCAACTCAGAGCCGAGTTGGCGAGTTTTGGTTATTCTTGGCGAGTTGCCAAGCTGAGGTTGTGATCAGTGGCCTACTATGCCACCCCAACATTAGACACCCATCATTTTCCTCCACACCATACCCATCACCGCCTGCAAAGTAGTCCAGCAATACACTAGCCTGTTTGAATGCGTTTGAGCCGATATGGACCGGCGCGAACCCGGCTGTTCCGAACCGATTCCTCCATTGAGCCAGTGTCTCGTGGCGTTCGACTCGGTCGACTCCTTCACAAGCAACAACGTTGCATATTTGCCTCCCTAAGTATACTTCAGACATCATCTTATCCTGGCTGTCTACGCAGCTCTCTAAGGAGTCGAACAGGGTTGAGTAGTAGTGGAGTGATTCGTTGAACCGATCTAGGAAAGCCGACCCGTTGTGATTCGCCTCTTGCTCGACTACTGTTACTATGACTGGGTTCACCTCCTTCATTAAACCCATCACCTTTTCGGCTGCGCCGGGGCGAGCTAGCAAACGATGCAGCTCGAAAACTGAATTAACCGCGACAACTTCGGTTTCGGGTCTTAGATCAAGCAGGGCTGATTCCAAATCGGTCAAGCTATTGGCCACAAACCCACGGTATTCGAATTGGATTTGGATTGAATCTGCAAATTGAGCTAATTTCCAACCAACTTCTTGCAATCTGTCCGAATTATCCGGTGCTGGTGGTCCAATCCCGGTTAATCGAAAAGCCGGCGGGCCTTCAGGGCGAAGCGCCAACGCTTGCATCAAAGCTGGCCATTGCATCCCTTCTTTCATACTGAAATCAATAACATGAACCTTCTTTTTGCCACTAAAAGCCTCCAAAATCGCCTGATTCGCCGTGAAATGAGCGAATTTGAGATAGGGGCAAGTCTCGTAAAAGTGCATCTGCAACATATCTGATAAATTGCCATCATATGGAACATCTGGGCATAATTTATACACCCTCCTTGCAAGAGCCTCAGCAAAATAAGTGGCAACCTTTCTCATAGATCCAACTTGAGACGCCGCTAAAAACCCGATTTGTTTTAGCAGCGCTTCAGCTAATCCCATATTCTGTTGCTCAATTGCCTCAGCACAAGCCATCAAAGTATGCACCAATCTAACACCATTCTCCTGCGAATCAACAACCACAACCGGCCTTGACACGGCTGAATTGGCGGTTAACTTCGATGAGGACGGGTTCGAGACGGTTGCAGTAGCGGTTGCACTAGCAGCCGTATAATTAGAGGCCTTCAACCTCTTAGCCTCTCTTGAACTTGAGCTGCTTGTAGTATTACTAACCATACTATTACAACTACTACTATTATTGTTATTATTATTATTGTTATTGACAAGTAAAGCTGATGAAGTAGACGGCGAAGGTGGAGTCAAAATAGCTTTACCTGGAATAGCTTTGAGATCATAATCCGAATACGGGTCGGAACTGAACCGGACCGAACTCTGAGGAGTCGGGTTAACAATCGGATCTACAACCGACCCAATCGGAGAAGGTAATAGAATCTGACTTGACGAATCATCATCAAAAGTAGTAGATGGATTAAACTCAGAAAGCATAGATTCAAGCCAAGTAGACAGATCTGAAGGATTATAATGAACAGTTTCAGAAGCTAATTGAGAAAGACCATCTTCTCGAACATTTCCCATAGCTTGTTCAAGCTGTTCAAGTTTCTGAGCAACTTCCGCCATATCTGATGACCTGACCTTATACCCCAAAACGGCAAGCAACTCATCAACTCCGGCGTCGTTTTGATCTTCCCACATCTTTGACTTTCCAGAAACCGGCGGTTTACCGCCGGTAGAAGGTTCTGGATTCGTAAAGGGGAGTTCCCTCTTCATGATTTTTTTTTATTTTATTTTTCAGGTTGATTTTGTGTGGTCTCACAAATTTGGGATTGAGATTGAGAATGAGAATGAGAAATGATATTTTTTATGTAATTTTCTCTCTCTTGCTTTTACACCTAAAATTTATGGGAGTCTAATATTGAGGAATAATATCATATAATTAAATAAAAATAAGAAAAAGAAATGTATTTTTGGGAAAAGGGGGAAAGAGAATCTTGGGCGGCGAAGGGGTGAGGGGGGTATAACAGGAGGGAAGGGTGGGACTACAACAACAACAACAACTGCAGGAGCAGCAGCAGCTGCAAAACGTTGGGTTTGTGGATGAGAGAGGGGAGAGAGGAGAGAGAAAGATGAGGAGAGAGAATGTGTTTGAGAGATGAATTATGAGGGACGCTCGTGATGGGGGCGCGAGGACCAAGGAATGAGACAGCTGGCCTGGCTTCAAGAGGATAAACATTGGAATTTTTATTTTATTTTAATGTGTTGGTCTAAAAGATCAATAATTCTTTCTTTTTTCTAACTCACTTTGGTAGAAAAAAAAAATGAAGTAAAAACAGTGAAACAACGAATGATGAGGGGACCTGTAATTATCAACTGTGTTTTTTATATTTTGGGATAACTATTACTTTTTCGGTTCTATAATTATATTCTCCGTCTTGTTAAATTGAATTACTACAACACTACTTGTTTTTACAATTTTACAGAGTTTTCGAATGATTTACTTCCTCTGTTTCTTTTTACTCGCAACAAATTAGTAGTTTGCGGACTCCTAGGCAAAAGATGGTAAGTGTAATTAACAAAAAATAAGGGCATGTGTTTAATATTAATCCAAACCCCCTCCCAAAAAAAAAACAAATACAACCACCTATCACCAGTAGCACCACCAATCCACCACCACCTAGCAGCAGCACCTCCACCACCTACCACCATATCACCACCACCTAGCACCATATGACTACCACCACCTATTTTGGGTGTTTTTTGTCCCTCAGGAGAGTTACGTCACGAAGTCTGATCCGGCTGAGTTGTACCTGCAAAACAACGGAGACTCCGGGTGGTAGGAGCTCCGCCTCCGACGATCAAGTTAGAAACTCGAAAGGGAATAAAGAGTATGGAAATTTAGGTGGGGATCTGCTTGGATTCCAAGCTCAGATCTTTCTCTGATGTGAGAGAATGTAGGTGTAATAAATGATTCAATCTGTCCCCAAAATGGGGAAATATCTTCCTATTTATAGGGTCCTTGGAGATCGTGCCCTTATCTAGGTCACTTGACCTAAATTTCAGTGGGCAACGCCGTAAAACGACGCTTCTAGGGATTTGGGCCCTTGCAGGCCGCCATTTCAGAGATGTATCTGAGGACGCCAAGTGTCAAGAGAATATTAAGCCACATGAGTCATCCTGAGCTCGACACGTGGCCTCCTCTCATTGGTTCACGTGTCTAGGGTATTTTTACCCTAAACATTTGCCCCTCACAGGTCGCACGTGCATATCACGTGGGGCCTGTGACACGTGTCCACCTTTCAAAGGTGAACAGTAACGGGTAAAAATTTAAATTTCAAACCAAATTTTTTCCCCTGCTTTCACCTTCTATAAATAGAAAGTTACCCCCCCCCCTTTTTCTCTCACCTTACGTTCATTTGACTTTTTAGAGAGAGAAAGAGAGAGCTTTTAGAGAGAGATTCTCTGCCTCCGTCTGCATCACAACAAGTTCAAGCTTCCGTGTGCTAGCAGTTCAACACTCGGTTTACCGGCTGTAGCGGTTTTCAGATTTTTCAGAGTAAAAGTAAGGTAACCGCCTGTACCATTTTAGCTTTCCTCCTTTTCAACTTGTATACAATTTTTTCTCCGCATGTATACCTAGTTTTTTAGAAAATATAAATGAGTTCTCAATCCACACACTCGGCACTGCCTAGGACACTGAGCCGGTCCCCTGGGACGGCTGAGTCTAGAACAGGGGGTGCCTTTGTCGGAACCGATATGCTCATCTCCGAATTCCTCCCTCTCAGTGTCTGTGCAGGACACAATGGCCAGAACGAAACAAACGGCAGACGGTCTAGGAGCCGGCGCACTATGGAAGTGTCAGTCGATGAGGTTGTTCCTGACGGGGAATAGAGGGATTTGGAAGAGAGTGGTTCCTGTTTCGGGGTTTTCTGATGTCCTGCGGGAGAGTTACAATTCCGAGACTGGAACCGGATGCCTGTACCTGCAAAACAAACGGATGCTCCGGACGATTGGAGATCAGCCTCCGACGGTCAAGTTAGTACTTGATTAAGGAGTAATTAATGCGGAAATAAAAGTAATTGAGTCTCTCTAGGTGAGAGTGTTAAATGTGCGTAATCCCCCTTAATGAGGATTAATGGGCATATTTATATGCCTTGGGATGCGTGCCAGTACTAAGTTTAGGTTAAACCTAAGGCTGACTGGGCCTCCCACAATGATTGGGCCTTGCTGGCCGGTTTTCCCATTTGGCATGGGTGGACACGTGTCACATTGTAATTGGTCCAAGGAGGACGAATCTCTTGATGACACGTGGCAGGCTCCTATTGGCCTACATGAAGGACACGTGGCGAAACCTGGCTGGCCCACGTGTCGGATGCTGATTGGTGGATAAAAATCCCCTAATCATTTGCCCCTCACAGGTGGCACGTGACTGGTCACGTGTTACCTGTGACAGGTGTCGCACCGTGACAGGCGACGGCCTGCTACAGATGTCACTCGGTGAAAGGCCGAGAGATTCTCCCGCCCAAATTTTGAATTTTGGAAGTGACCTTCGCCTTCTCACTTCGCCTATATAAGGGTGTGTTGACTTCAGTCATTTTCACATTTGAGAACTTTTTAGAGAGAACATTCGGACCCCTGAACTTGCTCTGACATTTCGGACTCTTTCTGCCTACCGCCTGCTCTGACAAGCCGACTACACAGGATTTCCAGAACTCCGTCAACTTCACTCGTTCAGGTAACTGTCGGTTCTCTTACTCTTAATTTTCTCTTTATTTTATTCTTTTTGGAATGGCACCACGGAAGCACACGACACGACCTAGGTTAGTGATCAGCCGGTCACCGGGGACGGCTGAATCTAGGACTAGGAGTGTCGCCTGCCCTTTTCCGGACCCATCTTTGCCCTTTATACAAAGTCCGACTGTCTCTGTGTCTATGCAGAACATGATGGCCAGAACAAAAAGGACTGCTAGGATCTCGAACTCAGACGGCTCCTCCCACAGGGTGCCGATTAGTAAAACATCTGACCAGGCGCCAGATGTGGAAGTGAACCAAAGCGGCTTGAAAGCCGACAGTTCTGAGGGAGGGGTCAAAGTGACCCCTTCCCATTTTACAGTTGACAAGTCTACATTCTCTCCTGCTCCTTTTGAAGGAGAGAAGGCGGGCCCCTCTGGGAGAGGGGAGGAGTCGTCCTCTTCGGACTCGTCAGAGGACGAATCCGAGTCTAGTTCTTCTGGTCATGCCTCTTTGGACACGGAAGAGAAAAACAGCCGCCTACAAGAGGCGAGGCTTTCTCACGCAGTTGAGAAGGGGGACAATTGGGCGGAGCCATCCGCCTCTTACCGAGAGCAAAATACCCCTTACTACTGCACTGTCCCACGGGGCCGGATCACGGCCATGCAAGAGAGAGTGGGGAGCTTTATTGCGAACCACACAATGGGCCCCGGCTTTTTAGTTTTCGTGCCGGATCCAGAAGACACAGTCGTCTGGCCGGCTGGTACTAGTTATGATGGCGCCTGCTTTGGCTGCTACGAGGCGGCCATCAGGGCTGGGTTGCGCTTCCCACTACATCCGGCTGTTCAGCGGATCTTGGATGGGTATGAGTTGGGGTTATGGCAGTTAGCCCCAAACTCCTGGGTCAACGTACTCGGCTATGTGGCCGGGTGCGAACTGCACGGGGTGGAGCCAAACTTCGAGGCTGTCGCCCACATGAACTACCTCAGCCGGACCCCTAAGGCAGGCGGTACCGGCTGGTATCAATTGACGAGCCACAGAGGCTACCTCATGACAAAAGGTAAAGCAAACAAGTGGAAGGATTGGCGAAGCACCTTCCTTATCATTGAAAGTTCAGACACAGAGCTGAACAAGCGCTTCAACAGGTGGAACAGGAATCCGCCTCTTCTTGCAGGCGGCCGCAGCATGCCGCCTGTTCCCCCCAAAGCCAAGAAAGAGATCCTGGATAAAGGACTCTTTAAAGTAGAGTCGAGGAATGACTCTACTACAGGGGTACGAGAGCAAGTACCCCTGCACTGCGTCCCGAGCTTCAAATGGCTTTATGACGAGTACTTTCTGGCCGCCTGTGGCCTTAGCAGTCGGTGCTCAAGAGGTAGCCGGCCTGTCGAATACTCTGTTTTTCCATGCATTACTGTTATGACTTTTTATTAACTTTGCTATTTGTTCTTGCAGCGGACGCCATGAGCAAAATTACCGCCTCCAAGACTGCGGCGGCCATGTTGCGAGCCTCTATCATGCAACAATCCTCAACCGACTCCCCCAACAAGGGGGCGCCCTTGGTGAGCTCCGAACCTTTCACTCTCTTTTTGGAGTTGGGTTTAGGCATATACTGACCGAGTGCTTTTTTTTTTTTTTTAGACGGGCACTCCAAGAGCCTCTTCTTCCCAACAGCTGGACTCCAAGACCCAGAGGACGACTGTTACGAGCTCTCCTGGTACTGCCAGGAAACATGCGGCGGCTGAGAAACAGCCGTCCACTCCTTCTAAAACTCCAATCGGGCCGCCTAGAAGTATGAAGCTGTCCTTGTGAATTTAGACTTGCTCCCTTCTTTACTAGGTCTAACCCGTTTGTTTATGCTTGATGCAGCCGGCCCTCAGGAGCCAGACTTGGTCGAGGTGGCCAAGTCTATGATCAAAGCCGTCCTTCCGGCTGAGAGGGAGGCGGTCAGGGGTGTCGGCACCCTTGACCTAGACGGGATTGCAGGGGTCCTTGCTGAGGTATACTTAGCATATTTTTGGTTATTTAAATTCCAGGACGCCTGTTTTTTGTTTGAAAACTGACGCCTGTTCCCTTTTACTTAGGCCCTGCTCCGAGTGAACGGCCTTCGCAAGCCGCTTGACAGGAAGAACAAAGAGGTAAAGGCTGCAAAAGCTATGGCCGCCTCTGACTGTGATAAGGCAATGTTTCAAATTGCCCAAAATGAGGTTTTGACAATTGATATTCTTTATTATCAGGCGCAGGCTACTTCTGCTATCCGAGCTCAGTTAGAGGCGGCCCAGAAGAAAAATAATGAGCTGGAGGCGACCATCAACAATCTCAAGGCCGAGCTGAGACCTCTTCGCCAAAAAATGTCCTCATACGACACCTTGGAGAAATCCTTGGCACACGTTAAGGAACGCCTGGTGACCCAGGAGAAGAGTCTTACTCAGGAGCTCTCGGCAAAGGCCGAGCAAGAAAAGAAGGAGCTGGTCCGAGAGATGATGGAAGACTCTGCTCAGATCCAGCGCCTGACCTGGGGCCGCCTCTTCCCCAATGCCGACTTTTCCTCATGGGAAAAAACGTACCGCCAGTGTTCT